CCAACTGCTACCTTTCAACTTTATCCAAGCGAACTTGAAAAGTCATAGAAAAAATGGTTAACCTCATTCCAATGCATATGTCAAAACACACACGCTTTTAGGCATCATTACATCTTCCTACCCCTTTGTACGCTTCCCATTTAATGCGATTTGAAACTATGTTGTCCCTTCGAATGTATGTTTTTTGAATACTCAAAGCTTCTGGTCAGCCTTTCAATATACCTCCATTTTGCGACCTTTGCAACTTCCTCCCGTTTCTCACTGTCTCCTCTACTTTTTGTAAGTTCTTCTTGCAACGAGCATGCAAAACATAAACGTATCTCTCGGAATTGGATTGATGATGAAAAGCGTAAAATAGAAACTGCCAAACTGCATGAGCGAAGAAACAGGCACCTATTACGTATTAACACTGTACATATATATATATATATATATAGGGGCAAAATAGTCCAAGAAATTATATTAAATTAGAAAAATGGACCTTATGGAATATTCAGAAAAGTTTATGGGACTAATTAGGTTATAATATTCTTTAGTGGACCTAATGGGTTATAACAACTCTAGAATGGATTTATCAATAAAAATCCCATATATATATATATATATGTATGTATGAAGTTGATGTTCCTTAAAAAAGAAAAAAAACAAAACAATAAAAAAAAAACGTTTGTGAAAAACGTTATTGCTGGGGGTATTTTTGCCGAGGGAGCTGAAAAACAAATCCCTTCTTTTTTATCCGGAGATAATAATTAAGTAATTAATGATAGTAAGTACTATATTGTCATTAAAAAATTGATGAAACTAGTAGATCTATCCTGTCTATGTTGAATTTGAAAATGTGTAATCGTTCAAATTAATCTAATTTTTTATTCTAAGACTTTGGTTACCATTTCGAACTGTGATATATATATTTTTATTTTTTTATATATGTAAAAATAAATATATAAAAAGTTTCTCATAAAATTTGAATATTAGTCTCAGGCTTGTTTTGAAATTTGACTATTTTAGTTAGTTTTTAATTTTTTTAAAAAGAGGTGTAAATAAATAGAAATAATAGTTAACTTTTTTATAATAACATTTTGACTTTTTGGCTAAAATAGTTTGTTGCCAAAACAACCCTTAATTGTGAAATTGACAAATCTTAACAAATTTAACCAAATTAATTATCATTAGTTTATTTACCAACATAAAATATATATCATATTTATTGTTACATAAATTTTTAGAATGGTAGAATCAAACCGAATTAAATTGGTTTTTATGATTCGGTTCTGTCAAGTTCCAAAGATTTAGCAGGTTTTTGGGGTAAACTAAAAAAGTGCACTATTTTTACCTATGTGTGAGTGATTTTCCGATCACACTACCAACTCAGTAATCAGCTGGAGAGAACTGGCAGAATAGATAACACCTTGCTGACCTGCAATAGAAAGAGAAGATTCCCGCGGTGGTTCGTCCACCCGGGGGCACTCCGACGATCAAATCAGTATATTTCTCAAAGATAATCAATAGTGCTAATCTCACTGTTCAGAATATAAATTGCATACCTTAGACCCATGGGGGTGCCTCTCTTT